TGTTACAGCCCCATCTGAGGTCACATGACAGAATTATAACGGTAAATGTGTATAATAATAAATATGTAGCGGAACAGAAGCGCAAACAGAGAACACTCAAAAAGTTATTGAAATTGCTATAAGGTTTGTTAGCATTGGTCGACAAAAATAAGCCTTTAAGCCTACATTTCTTTTAAATAATTGGAATTTAAGAATAGCTTTGATAAAGGGGTAGTCACTCCATTTCTCACGTGCTCGAAACACAGAGGTAGTTGGATGGGGGTTTAAATCACACGAGGTCCCTGGTAATACTAGTCCCATGCCGATAGAGCTTGTGACGCATGCAAGGACTGAAAGCAAAGGTTTCTTTTTCTGTAGTGACATTCATCATCTGACCAAATGATGCACTTCACAGCTGACCATATCTGAACAGCCGTACACTCAGAGACAAACAGTGCAGCTATGAACCGGTTCTGCTCCTCATCTCAATGTAACCCCCCGGTCCTGCTACAGTCCTGTTGTTAATCTCCCGTCTAGACTTCATGACCAACACGCGTATGTAACTCAAACCTGGCGGAACACTCAATTAACACAGAACACTCTTTGACTTTGTTCACTGGTAACAAGTGTATCAGCCTGACAATAAGAGGGCAATGTTGTTGAACAAATGGGAAGTCTGCCAGAATCAAAAACGACATTTATTTTTCATGAAAGAAAAGAGAAATGACCCAGACCAACCTCTTAAAGAAATGTAACTAAGCGGATCACATCTTGAGGTTTTGAGCATCTAATGGCGCGTTTCCACTACAGCGCGGAGCCCCGTTTAAGAGAGCTGTGACGTCAGCGGCCCGTCTTTGGTTGCGTTTCCACTTGGCCTAGTACCGGCTAGCGGGTCCTAATTCACAGTTTTTCTGGCCCCATAAAATCGTGGTTCTAGGGCCAGGAACAACGAGGCTGAGTCGGGCTGAGTATGCTAAACTAGAGAGAGAATCGCTGGCAAGGGGGCTACAACTACAACAAGATGGACATATTTGACCGTGATTTAATTGTAATACACGTTTCAAAATGATGCCGAAGTAACAACATACTGATACCGGTTAGTAAAAACCATGAATTAATGCTTTGACAAGTCTGCAGACAGACGGCAGGGGAAAAACCTTTTAAAATGCGTGTTTTCTAAATGGAGATTGGCTAAGCTAATGCAGTATATGCTCCGACCGTCCACACTCACAACAACGGCCTATACAGACATAAATAAAGCAGCAACTGTATTCGCCATGACACAGGCAGTCTGTGGTTTGTACTTGTTTAACTTTTGTCTAGTTTCTGAACATATATGAGGAGCTGTGAGCTCTGAGTGCTAACAGCTAACGGCTGTGTTGTTTTTCTGGGGTTCTCATTGAAGATGACGTCACGGCTCCGCCTACACTGCGTTACTATAGATACTACCCCAGTTCCTAAACTGTAATGGAAATGCGCCATAAAGTGAGCCAGTCCTAACGAGGCTTAGCCATACCGAGCGAGGCCGTGTAGTGGAAATGCGCCATAACGGGCCGTCTCCACAGCAGCGTTAAAAAATCTTGAAACGCTTCTGCCCATTCACTTTGAATGGGGTGACGTCACTTTCCCTCACTTTTCGCCGAAATGCTTTGTGGGCAGGCGAGCGGAGATTTTCAGGATTTTGAGGATTCAAAGTTGAACAATGTTCAACTTTTGAGGCTGAGGTGGAAGCGTCAGCCAATCAAATCCCGTGTACGCAAATCTGACAGTTCAAGCTCTAGCCAATCAAACGGCGTGTATGCTGGGAGAGAAATACCGCAGGTCATTTCCTCATATTCCAAAAAATGGAGGAGAAATTAGCGGTAGCGAATCAATCACCCGGTGCTTTATGACCAGACCTACCGGGATATAAACCGGAGGAGCCAGGCATGGAGGGAGGTGGCAGAGACAGTGGTAGGTTTTCGCCTGTTTTGGGGAGTTTATATCCAGTTTACTTCGGGCTTTTTTGCTTCGTATGTCGCGGGCGGGAGATTCATGTGATTGGTTGCTCGCAAAAAATCCTCAAGCTTCAGATACGCCCACCTCCAAGATTTTTTTAACGCTGCTGTGAAGACGGCCCGTAAGGGTATAAGTACATTTGGACAAAGAAATGAAATATTTTGAACAACTCCCTTCACAATATGGATTACCCAATTCTCATTTATTGAAGTTCTTCCAAGTGAGTAATCATCGTCCTGATGTTTAAAAAAGAGGCCTATTGATGAAATTAAACTCCAAGTTAACCATCAAGATAAACAAATTATTATGAATGTAAAAAATTAAAGGGGAAAATGAACTTTCCTGCACTATACCATCAACAGATGTGCAAAAACATTCGTTATGCAAAAAAATCTAACTACTGGAAAGAATACACATGAAAGATTCAAATGTATTGTTGGAGAGAATGCGGAGAGCAGACGACAAACCATAGTCATAAACAGTGGTCTTGTAAAGTTTTAAGTGGCTTCTGGGAAACATTTATATAAAAATGTCAACTATTTGTATTACCCCTCTAAATAAAAACCCACTGAAGAAACTATAATTTGTTGGAGTGGTGGTTCATCGAACATCCCATGTGGTGTGCACATTTAAACACTGGATCCAGCAGGCCGTTTTAACGTTTTATTCTCAAATGATAGTTGACAAAGGTTTCGCTGCTGTGGATGATTTTATCTAAATAAAAAGGAATATTTACAAACTATTAGCAGTCTTACAATAACCACAATAATCATAATGATAAATAAGGTTCAGTATTCCACTTAAATCATTTCATGCATCCACAGGATTAAACTCTTTTCTTTAACATAGGTATGGGTCAAAGCGAATCTAGAAGGTGGATCTAACATAAACAAAACAGTCTGTTAAAGTAAAGCTAAACAGTTCATCAACTGATTTAAGTACAAACAATTCAGCTCCATGTGCCAACTCACAGTTCCTTTGTTCTTCAGTCTCTGGTGGGAAGGAAGTGAGACTGAGTGACTGGCCTGAAGGGCGGAGCTTTAAAGACTTTGGTGGGGGAGTGGTCTACACTTGATTGACAGAGGTGATGATGCAGGTTGAGAGGGGAGAGACTTGTGATTTCTTCCAACACCCACTTTTATTAATACTTGGGAAAAATCCAGAAAAAATCTAAAAGAAAGATGCTAACTTATTCCTTGTAAATATAGTAGCATTGAGTAAACAAATGACAGGTAACTGGTTAAAAGATGATAACTTCATTAAATAAAATTGTAATGATCCCATATCAGTTACATTACCAGCACCATCAGGTCAAACTGCCTCATTGCTGGATAGACTAAGAGCAGCAAAATCATCCGTTTTCAAAACTAACATCAACTACAGAAATTGATGAAACAATGATGTGCTACTGCCTGGCCCGTTACTTTATGCTGTTATACAGGGCCGCCCCTGGCCAACTTGTGGCCCCATGCAAAGTTATATGATGAGGCCCAGATCTGTGTCTCAGATCTGAGGCCCCCTCCGCAAGATGAGGCCCCCTCCGCGAGGTGAGGCCCCATGCAGTCTGCGTGATCGGCCTGTAGGGAGGGGCGGCCCTGCTGTTATATCCAACAATGCTACCAAACAGAACAAACCAACTCATCTTCACATTAACAATGGAGAATCACAAAGAGATTTAGTTTTCCTGCGGGAAAAGGACGCCACAAGCACTTGTTTGGTTCCATCAGAAGAAAAACATAGAAATGGGTTAAGACACACAGTAAAGTCGAGCACACTGGTGTACTCATCGGGAACATCTTCCAAAATGTCGTCATGCATCAGTCACAGAAGTCCTGCCCGTCGTTCACACTGCCTTGACAACAGTTATAGGTCACGGGAGAATAAATGTTGTTTAGGATACAGAGCCGCTTGGAAACCTGATAAAGTATTTACTGTCATTGTAAAACTGTTATAGACATAGTGGAAGTGTCCAAAATAAGGAAGCACTATTTCCAGACAGACTTCAGCTTCAGGAACAACTTTATTTCAGCTGCTGTCAGAGAGCCTTCCTGTTTCTGACATTTTTACACTGGGGTTTAACACAGGGGCAATACTTACATTCCCATATCTTACACAATATTGAAATAATAATTCCTTTTGCTTGTTGATCAGCTGATCATTATGATCAAACAACGTTTTTGCTGTAATGGCTTGTATTGTTGACTGTGTTGAGATTCTGATCCAAATTATGTTTTAACGTATCTTAACATAACACTCAAAAAAATATTTATTTCATCATTAGTATAGAGGTGTTGGTAAACTTGAATATAAAGTCATTGTGAATGATCATCTCATGTTTAATGATTACTTCCTATTTAAAGACTGCTTCTACTAGAGCTATGGTTCACCCTGGTTGTGCCGAATGTGTGTGTTGGATTGCCTTTCTGACATTATGATGTGTGTTTGTATCAACAGTCCATGAGCTCCACTGAGCGCGTGTCACTTTATGTGCTGCCCCTGAGCGGAGGACAGACAGCAGCAGCTGTAACTCACACAGAACAAATGGGGTCAAGGGATGCCAAAACTGCTCTGACTGGAAAGCCAGAGGTCAGCAACACATCCAGCAACTCAAGAGAGTGACTCAGAGCAACGTCTATTTCTGAACAGGCTGGGCACAGAGAGCTTGGTCAAAGATAAAATCTTAAGTCAAGCGCTTGTGCTCCAACATGCTAACATTCAGTTAGTGTGTGGAAACTGTGGAAGTCATCTTTCTAGGATGTTGTCAGTGAAGTGAATGTTGTTATTGCATTTCACCGTCTCTCAGAATACACCTTCATCCATTCTATTGATGCAAGACCAGTCTGGGATTAGTTTGTGACTTATTAATGTCTTCATTTTCCATCAACCTTCATCATCTGCTGCAGTAAGTGTATCTACACTGTCACACATAATTCATTCATCATGGCACTAAAGGTCCTTACACTGTTATTTTGGGCTGTCTGCCCCCAAACTGACAATTGTGAGAAATGTGGCAAAACATTGTCAACTTTCTGACCTGAAGACTTTATTGGCAGAATGACATCATTTGTTGGACAACAAGTATTTGTAAAGTAATGCTCTGAGGGATCTTGGTTTGATTCAAAATGACTACATTGCATTCGGTTGTCATTGCTACAATAAATCCTTGGTAATGTTGACTGTTGCCAGGAAACGGAAATGTCTCAATAATTGATGTCTCAAAGTCAGACATTTTGTTGACCCACCCACCCCACTGGCCTTCAAATCAAGAGGACATGAAGTCACGCTGGATACCCTTGCAAATGTGAACATTTGAGCACTTATTGAAATATTGACATGGTAGTTCTACAATGTAAATGAAAAAGTTGGTCCTCAACGTGATACAGTGTAGTCTGACACAGATTACGACCAATATTTTATTAGAGCCAACTCGCACAGTGTGCCATGCTACAAACCCACAAAATCATTGTTATTTTACATAGAAGACCACAGTTCTCTCTAATTGTCAGGGCCCGACACCAAAGTCTGCCTTCCCCTTAAAGATTTATATTACTATAGTATTTACACCTCCACTGCAGCTGTAAGAAATATTAGGTCAAATGATTATGTATGTTAATGATTGACCAGAAAGATGGACAATACAAGACTAAAAAAATAATAAACATAATACATCCTAAAACTCAAATTGTAACACAGCACTTTTATAATTTATTTTAAAGTCCCTTGTGTAATAAAGTAGCAGTTTATCAATAATTGTTTGTAGTTTGATCCCTCACCAAGCAACAGTTCACCAGTTAACATTACTGATGAGGAATGTCCATTACAATATGAAGCAATTCCCACAGTAAAAAGCAACAAATATTAAAGGTTTATAAAAAAAGCCATTAAACCTATGATGTCAAAAAGATGAACTTTTATCCTGTGTCTCATTCTCGTATAAGCCCGTGAACTGAGAGTCACAACCCTCAACTCTAGCCAATATAATACTTTAGTGTTCTTAAAATCCCCAAACCCAGGTAGACAGAAGCAGTGTGCAAAAGTGGAGTGTGGCGCCCACAGGGTCAAACTCGGACCCGGAACATGTCCTGGCTCCACTGCAGGCGGAACAGTCGACAGTTGGCGATGCGCAGGCCTGCGCACGCTGTTTTGGAGAGATCGCTGGGTAACATGGGTCTGGTGCGCTGCCACGTCCCAGTACTGCGGCGAAACTCCCTGATGTAGTCGAAACTGGTTCCTGTAGGTCAGAAACAGCAAACTCACACATCTAAATATTGAGCGGACTGTAACCTGATCAGAAAACTGTGGTTGTTGGACCTGGTTTCTCTTACTGACCGGTGTCCAGGTCTCCAACCACATAGATGCTGGCTCCGATGGGCACAGCGCCATAAACGAAGGAGGAGCTGGTCTGGATACACAGGGTCTGGTCATCCAGGAAAATCCACCTGTACTCAGCATTACACACATATTGGTATCAAAACAATTGGTTCTGTATTTTTTATTGAAAACTTTCTTATTTTCATATTAGGAAATATGTAGGAAATTGATAGTTGAATATTCTGTTCCATTTTGTACGACAGTCAAGTGTATATGATTGCACACTGTACAATGCATTCTCTATTTATGTCTCGTGTCCCCACCAAATTAACTTCACAATTGAAATGAAAAAAATTGTTGATTTATCATTAGCCCATATAAGGGGGGGACAACAAAGACAGACAATAGCTGTTTTGCAATTTCATCTGGAAATACATATATTTGATTATATGATATAAATGCTATATTTAGTACCAGGAACTGTATTTTGTTCATTAATGTAACTGATGGGAATCCATTAAAGAATAAAAATGTAGAAAGTCCTGCTAATCAAGATCATGCAATGAAGTCAACATTTCCAAAAAGACTCAGCTGTTGTTTCCAAGGCTAAATGGAACTTTGAGTCAAAATGTATTAAAGAATCTAATAAAAGTTTTTTTAAATGTGGTATAAAAGTAGCTTTAAAACCCTCCTAGACGCACTGTTCCCATACTGACCTCCTCATCTCGTCATGGTAGAACTCAGACTTGCAGGTCATCATCTGCCTTTGCTCGGGGTTTTCTTGCTCTTTGCTTCTCACTCCGCCAAACACGTAGAGCTCCTTGCCAACGCCACACGCCACCGACCCAAACCTGGCCAGGGAAATGATTGGGAGTGAATGTCTCCTATTGGCTAATTCCTGACAAATCTTGAGACAAAAGTTATCAACTGACAAGAGACCAGTATTGACATAGATAGGACCCTATGATCAAAGGTTTCACAGCGCAGAAGTTAATCATGGACAAACTAGTTAATGTGAAAGATGCAATCATGGTTGGATAAAAGGTAATATAAATTCCTTCAGCCAAAGAACAAGACTAGAGTGATCTGACTATAGCAACAATTTTTAAAAGACAAAAGATAAGTTATGTGGGGGGCTAATCTTTCCTTAAGAAGTTGAACTTTGGGCTAGTATTTGCTTGTTTCAAATCATCACCCGTATACATAAATGGTAGTACGAATCAAAGCCAAAGACTGAATATAACGTTTTTACCTTGTTGTTGTGATATCTTGTTTTCACAGTTACTTAAAGTGGACCTATCATGCTATATTTGAATAATATAGTGTAGGACCATACCTATATAAGGCATATTTATACTTTTTTTTTTGCAAAATACCAAACAGATCATGCAGATAAGGGCAGAACAGCACCATCTACTGGCCTGGCATATGTACTACAGCGTCTCCAGCGCTTTCGAACGGCAATGGCCGTGGCTGTCTCCTCCTGATTGGTGGAGTTGGCCCAATAGCCGTAGCGCCACTGTCCTGACGTCAGGACAGTGTTCAAATCTGGATCAGTTTTTATCAGATCCGTTGCAGCCCCTTTTTTAGAGATTTGGGTATGGAGGAAAATAGAGAGGGTTGTGTTTTCTGACACTTGGTGAGTTCCCTGGAACACCGGGGACACATATTCATGTATAAAAGACGTACCAAAGTGCATTTTGCATGATAGGTCCCCTTTAAATCATTTTATTTTAAACGTTATTATCCTTGTGTGAACTCTTGTCTGTACTGTGCTGTATTTCATGCCTAGTCTGTTGCTGCTTTAAATCCAACATTTCCCTACAGGGATTAATAAATGTCCATCTTAAATATGTCTTCACCTTAAAGCCTGTCTCACACTGTCCCGAAATTGACACCAGATGGACACACGATAAAGGAAAAGTTCAAATTCGGCTCTGATCGTAACATCGGGCCATTCGTGAGGGCATCTTAAGCCATCGTATGACCGCCGGTGGAGTTTCTCAGGCTTCGGCAGCAACTTCGTGAGCGGTGGAAAAATCTTTGGCATGCCAAAAAATTGCAGAAAGACCTTGCGAAGGTTCATTTGTGTGTTGAATTTGTGTGTCCATTTTGCCCTTCGTAAGGCACTCGTGAGGGCATCTTGTCAAATCGTGTCATCTTCGTCTTTACTTCGTGTGATCATCGGTATCATCGGTGCCATCTGGCATTTTAGCGTTTCCCATGTACCAGCACCTCCTCTTACAGGTAAAAATGGTCTTATTTCACTTTGTCATTTCTTGCTATTTGTGACCTGCTCTATCGAAATCAGTAGCAGTGATGATACCTGTATTAAGCAGGTGAAACAGGAGCATGAGGACACAGTGTGCTATGTTTCCTTGCAGATCGCTTCTCTGGTTGTTTTATTGCACAACAAAATCATGTAAACATATTATGTAAATAACCCAATTTGTGTTCTGTGAAACTGAAAAGGATATGACATTGTTTTTGTTACTTTCATTGCAGTTGTATGTCTTAAATGTAATTTAGGTTAACTTCCTGTTTTATTTAGATGCTTTTATTTTGAAGGCGAGTTTACGCTGTTGACAGGAAGTTGTTGTTGCTATGGAAACAACATGCCTTCGTGTGTGGTTCGGGTGCCATCGTGTGGCCTTCTGTAGGCATCGTACTTGCTTCGGCTGTTGCTTGGCTGTTGACCAAGTTCGGGGGCCATCTTCGTGCGAAATTCACAATTCCATATTCGTGTGTCCATCTGGTGTCAAATTCGGGACAGTGTGACACTAGCCTTAAGGATGACGGGTTCTCCAATAGGCGCGTTCACACCGCAGTACTTTTCCCAGTATAATTCCGATATAGTTCTTGAAATGTTGCGTTCACACCAAAAAAATCCGGAACTAAAATGAGTTCATGAGAACCTTTTTTACCCCCTTTTCCGTCCCTGCTAGAGAGCAGGGACTTTCGTGGGAGAAAAAGGTTCCTATTTCTGATTGGCTGGGCGGATTGCAAACCACGCCCCGTAAAACTCCCAAAAGGTTTTGTGAAGCCGCCATTTTATTATCCTCGCATTAGCATTATTAGCATTAGCATTAGCCCAGCGCACAAACGCAGAGATACTAACTTATGGCAACACAAAAGAAAACATGGGAGCGGTGGAGATGAGGAGGTGTCGGCGTTCTGGCGATTTACTCGGAAGGCTTCAGTAGAAGCTGCTGGGAGTCCCAGACATTTCTGTCACGTATTATGTGACAGAAATGTCTGCACTGGACAGAAAATACACAATAACATGGAAAGAAAATAAACAAATATTGCATTTTAATGTAAGATTCTTTTGTCCTGACCACAGCAGCTAATGCTACAGGATTGTGTTTACCTTCTCTCCTTCAGAGGACAGAGGCCCGTCCACTGCAGGGTTTTCGGGTCGTAGCATTCAACGGAGTCAAACAGCTTCCCGTAGGAGCCCCCGCCGATGGCATAGATCTTCTTATTCATGGAGGCGTAGCAACCCACCTGAAGGAGCAGAAAAACAGCCGTACGAGTCACAGCATGTTTGGAAGTGTTCACGGTGGAAAATGCATCACTTGGTCTGAGTGTTGTATTGGCCCTGGGCCCATTCTTTACTTTTTTCAGTCATTTCAGTAACATTGTGTAAGATAGCGAGCTAAAAAATAAGAGGCAGGAAAAGTCCGTTTTTATGTTGTATGGAACTATTTTTCCATACAAGTCTATATAGTTGGGTTGAGAGAAGGTTTTGATTAGCACTGAAACGAAAAATGTACAGAACATTTTTTTACTTTTATTTTGAGAGATGCATGACATAAGGGACAGAGAAGAGGGATGACATTCAACATCCACAGCCAAACCAGAGCTTCTGCAATAACACAGTCAGTATCTTAAGATATTGTCTTAAGATACTTATTTTTGTTGCGTGTATAACTTTAACCTGATGGTGCTAATAGAAAAATGTACAGGGTTCAGTGATTACTTTTATTAGTTAAGTTTATCAATGGCTTTTTAATACTGACCCACTTAAAAAACAAAACGGAACGGAACATTATCTATTGGTAAGGGCCGGGTATTATTCATAAAGTAGCTGGAACTGATATCTTGGCCACTTGTCACTTACAGATAACATTACATTGCTTGCTTAATCTATCAGTTAAAGTGGTGGCCTTTTTGTCATTCAGGCAGAGCCCTAATGATTTAAATGGAATATGGCAATGATTTGGGGCGATATTTTTAAAATAATAACAATGTTACCATATTGCTTCAGGACCTTAAACCTTCCTCATTATCTGCTGTATGGGATCATCTCAAAAGTCCAGTCGGCATTGTTCCACCAGCAGTAAGCAATGTATTATGTGTGTCCAGTGGAGCTAGTGGACACACAACAAGTGTTGGAGACAAGCAGCAGGGGCAGATGGGAAAGAGCTGGTACAAAAGTCGACAGACATGAGAAAATAAATGCTGCAGCTCCTCCTGAGGTTTGTTTAGCAGCAGTTGGATTTACTAACAGAGCTGCTGTGCTCCCAGATCTCAGTCTGAGGGGGAGACGGACCTTCTGAGTGAGATTATTTCAGAGAGCCCTAGTTAAACATTTTACTGATATAACTAAATAACATGAGCCGTAAAAGTGATCAGAATCCAAACTATCTATGACATGAACTATTTTGATAGTCACAACTGATGTGTTTTAATGTATTATTTCAGCAGTAAAACTCTTAGGTGTTCTTGATTTTAAAGTAATAACATTAGTTTTTAAGCTGTAATCAGTAGTTTCTTTACGGTTATCCTTAGTGTTTATTCTATTGACATATGTTTATTAATTATTAACATTTTAATGTTTCATTATTAATACATTTAGCACAAATTTATATATTGTTTCTTGCTTCTTCATAATCCTTATTTTACATGAAGCAATTTTGGTTGGATGTCAGTATTAAAGGTGCTTTATTAATACATACAATAGAGTTGAGTAGACCTGAATGTTAAACATACCAATTTAGTTTGATAAGATATTGTTTATCAGAATCAGAATACCTTTCTTTATCCCACAGAGGGGACATTTACATTGTTACAGCAAAAGTTAGGCTAGAGACAAAAATATATAAAATAAAACACTATTAGATAAAAGGGCATGCACAGAAATATAAAATGTTGTCCACCACCTCCACAGTGTCCAGGACCTTCTCTAACAGTCTGTTCAGTCTCTTCCTGTCAGCAGCCGAGATGCTGCTGCCCCAGCAGACCACACCATAGAAGATGGGTGAGTCACAGAGTCTAATGGCGTATTTCCATTGCAGGGCCTCGCTCGGCTTAGTACGGTATAGTTAGGCCTTGTTAGGACTGGCACACTTTATGCTGCGTTTCCATTACAGTTTAGTTGCTGGGGCAGTAACTATAGTAACGCAGTGTAGGCGGAGCCGTGACGTCATCATCAATGCGAACCCCAAAAAAATCAGCCGTTAGCTGTTAGCACTCAGAGCTCACAGCTCCTTATATATGTTCAGAAACTAGACAAAAGTTAAACAAGTACAAACCACAGACTGTCTGTGTCATGGTGAATACAGTCGCTGGTTTATTTATGTCTGTATAGGCCGTTGTTGTGAGTGTGGACGGTCGGAGCATATACTGCGTTAGCTTAGCCGATCTCCATTCAGAAAACACGCATTTTAAAAGGTTTTTCCCCTGCCGTCTGTCTGCAGACTTGTCAAAGCATTAATTCATGGTTTTTACTAACCGGTATCAGTATGTTGTTACTTTGGCATCATTTTGAAACGTGTATTACAATTAAATCACGGTCAAATATGTTCATCTTGTTGTAGTTGTAGCCCCCTTGCCAGCGATTCTCTCTCTAGTTTAGCATACTCAGCCCGACTCAGCCCGGTTGTTGGCCCGGAAAGAACCTCGATTTTATGGGGCCAGAAAAACTGTGAAATAGTACCCGCTAGCCGGTACTACGCTAAGTGGAAACGCAACCGTGCACAGCACGCTTAAACCGCGCTGTAGTGGAAATGCGCCATTAGAAGGTCTGCAGGAGGGCCCCCTCACCCCAAAAGACCTCAGTCTCCTCAGCAGGTACAGTCTGCTCTGTCCCTTCTTGTATAGAGCAGCAGAATGATCAGTCCAGTCCAGTTTATTGTTCAGATGAACACCCAGGTATTTGTACGATTTCACAATCTCTATGTCCGCTCCCTGGATGTTCACTGGTGTATTGTTGGCGCCTTCTGAAGTCCACCACTAGCTCCTTGGTCTTCCCTGTGTTGAGCTGGAGGTGGTTCCTCTGGCACCAGAGGGGGAACGTTACGTTACATGTCACTTGTTCGAGGATTTTATCCAAAACGACTTACACACACTCAGTTCTGTGGGCAATCAGCCTCTCCCCTGATCCGAAGATCAGTTCACTATCCCACTGAGTCACTCATTAGAGATGAGGCCAACGATGGTAGAGTCATCAGAGAACTTCTGCAGGTGACAGGAAGCAGTGAAGAGGGTGAAGTCTGCAGTGTAGAGGGTGAAGAGAAACGGTGCCAGCTGGAGCTCTCTCCTCACCTGGTTGGTTGTGAGGGACAAGGTGCGGTCAGCGGGTGGGGTTGGTGATAAACAGGAGACACGATGGTTGTTAAGAGTGACTGTGAGCTGATGGTCGGGGGGTGAGTAGAGGTGGGAGAGGGGACAGGGCCATTTCCAGGCCGTGGGGACAATGTGGGGTGCAGCAGGGGGAATGGGGAGGGGCACCAGACTGGTCAAATCTGTTAAAGAAAATGTTCAGGTCGTTTGCCCACTGCTGGTCCCCCCGGACCTGGGAGTCTGGCTCTTTGTAGCCAGAGATGGTCTTCAGGCCTCTCCAGCTGTTCCTCCATCCTCTTCCTGTAACTGTTCTTCCCCTCTCTGATCTTCCACCTCAGCTCCCTCTATATAATCCTCTCTGTTTCACGATCTAAAGGCCCTCTTTTTGTCCTTCAGGAAAGCCTTTATCTCAGGGGTAATCCAGGGTTTGTTGTTTGCAAAACACCGTACAGTCCTCTTGGGTAGTACGTTTTCCTCACAGAAGTTAATTTAATCAGTTATACAGTCAGTTAGGCCGTTGATGTCCTCCCCATGAGAGTCAGTGAACACATCCCATGCAGTAGTGTCAAATCAGTCCTTCAGGGCCTCCTCAGACCACTTCTTCACGGTGTGTGTGGACACCGGCTGTCTGTGGACCAGAGGTTGATACACAGGCAGGAGGTGAACCAGGTTGTGATCAGATCTGCCCAGGAGAGGAAGGGGAGATGAGCTGCATGCCTCCTTGGTGTTGGCATACAGTAGGTCCAGTGTTTTATTGTCTCCGGTGGTGCAGGGGACATATTATTTGAATGTGGGCAGAGTTTTTGAGAGAGGCATGATTGAATTCTCCAGAGATTAGGATGAGGGCATTAGGGTGCTGTGTTTGCAGTCTGCAACAGTTGGAGTTGACGTCACAAGCGTGAATTTCCATGGCAAATAGTGTGTTCTGATTTTTTACCTAGGTTCGATATGATAATTCATAGCGATATTACCATTCCCTGCTTTATTTCTGATATTCTAGAATTTATTTTGCAACATTATCTTAACAGTACATTTGGGATACAGAGGTTACTGCTGTTGTGATCATATTTGGCCCAGTCATAAACTGAGTTACATGTCCTACTATCTTGTCAATGTGATATTAATATGTGTGTTGTTACCTTGCGGATCATGGTCATACTGGTCAGCATTTTCCAGGCACTGCAGTGAGGGTCGAACACCTCCACAGTGATCAGCTCTGATTCTTTGGTCTCTCCTCCGAGGACGTAGATCAGACCGTCCAGCTCCACCACGCCAAAGTTCTGACGCGGCTGTGTCGAGATCAAAAGCAGCAATGAGACACACACTCAATCACACAGAAGCTCCACACACGTGACGCAAGACTGCTGTTATGTCTTCCACAGCTCTTTTAAGCAACAATTTAGATAATGGTTTACAGTATATGAAATTAATCTGATATTATTATTCATCAAAACAATAACATCTCGAACAATATATCTTAGTCTGATTTGCATCCATAAGTATTGATGTGTACAACAAGAAATATTCAAAAATATAATGTGAATGACTTTTCCTATAAAGCGGCATTAGGGACAAGGGGTTGATTTGTCTGTGTCAATTCTGCTGTTACTGCTGACACCTAGTGGCACACCAGCAGATTCCAATTACAATTGTTTAGTTTTCTTCAAATCACTCAGTGTAGTAAAAGAAAAGAAAAAGGGCAGAGAAATTGTCAGAAAGAATTGTACAGTAAAGATCAGCCGTTTAAATAGTTTAGTGGAGGGATGAGTGGTGCTTCTCTCAGGAGAAGTGCAGTCGTACCTGTAGCATTGGGGGTATAGGGCTCCAGGTGTTGGTGTCAGGGTCATATTTTTCTCCACTGTCTAGGACTGTGTTGTGTTCATCTGCTCCGCCGATCGCAAACAGAAAACCCTCTAATAGACAGAAGCAGAGTAGGATCATTATACTTAGATAGTACAATTTATCTTAATTCTTAATGATGATCATTCATTCAGGTGATGACTAGCTACAGATATGTTTCCTGCAGGACTTCAGGTTATGGCTGGGCCGCACTGACCGGCAGTGACGACCCCGTGGCCCAGGCGGGGGGCGCTCATGGGCTGCAGCGTAATCCAGGCCTGCCTGCTGGAGTCGTAGAGCGGACACATGCAGCGCGTCTCAGAGGTCGGCTTCCTGGTTCTGTACAGGACAAATCCATCAGGTGGTAGCATGTTAGCAGAACATGTGATTTTGGGAACTCATGACTAATTCAACCAAATTTCAGTGTAAAATAACATTATTTATCTGTCATAATTATATCATTATCTTTTCCTAAAAAAATGTGTGGAGTGAAGAGCTTCTTTGTAGCTCATAAATGAACACTAAACCTATCCACCAAACATCAAAGCTTATTATTATTACAGTTATGGTGGAGATAGACAGTATATATCATTAGGGTGGTCCTTAAAATTGAAAGTGGGAAAGTCTAAGCTCCAACCCCCAGAATTCATTCTATTAGTCAAGAAAACTCTCCTGGTGAATTTTTTCCTCAATCTGACAACATGTACCCCCCCCTCATCAACCTGGGCTGCCACACCAGCAGCCACGGTGCTGCAACTGAGGCTAAACTTCAAGGTTGATGAGGGGGGGGTACATGTTGTCAGATTGAGGAAAAAATTCACCAGGAGAGTTTTCTTGACTAATAGAATGAATTCTGGGGGTTGGAGCTTAGACTTTCCGACTTTCAATTTTAAGGACCACCCTACTGAGGCTAAACTTCAAGGTTGATGAGGGAGGGGTACATGTTGTTGGAATTTGAATAAAATTCACCAGGAGAGTTTTCTTGACTATCATAACAAATTCCGGTGGTTGGAGCTTAAAATAAATGAATTCGAAAATTGACATGGCACAAAGGACCACCCTAATCATTATATGTATACACATATAAAAGAAATGTCCGCACTAGCTGCATCCCCACATCCCTGGCGCTCTGTGGTCCTGCCTACATTAGCCTGGGAGCCTGAGGGTTCTGCTAAGTCCGATAAGATAAATTGATAAAAAAAACTAAAATGGTGAACAGTGACTTACTTGCGATCCTCTCCTCCGGCTATGACAATACATTCTGAGTAACCTCTGGGTTTGAAGGCGGCGAGCATAGCCTCACCCTGCAGGGGGCCGACGCCCAGCACCTGCTGGCAGTACTCTCTGATCACCTCCCTCATCAGCGGCTCTCCCATGGCCTGATGGAATACCGTGCACGCACAACAAGGTTAGCTAAAGAGTTAGCCCAGAAGAGTATTGCCTCAAAAACAGCAAACGCAATGTGAAACAATTACACATAGGGTGTGCTGTTACACTGTGGGTAATACTAAAGAGCAAACATTTAAATCTGGACAGTTCTACCTGCTCTTTCAGGTAGCTTGCATCCAGACCCTGCTGCCACACTGCAGACATCACTTGCTTCATGTGTACCTGCAAATACAGATGGAAGACTCAAGGTTTGGTTTATTAAATAAACACAAGCTAAATTAATTCATTTTGGCCACCTGAGGCCTGTACTACGAAGCCAGATTTTCGCTTAGCGAGCTAACTTCAGGGAAAACTCTGGCTTTCCGGTCCTACGACGCTGGTTCTCTTTTTACCGGGCTAGATCTCCATGGTAACTTATGCTGAACGGCTAACCAGGGGGGTATACTACGAATCTAGTTCAACATATCCTGGATATGTTTTGAGTTATCCGGTTGACTAAATCCAAAAAAAAAAACGCTCTCGCTAAACGGTCCTACGACGCTGGCTATCAACTCGATGCTCAAGCCAGCCGTGTCCTATCTAGTTAGGTGCGCGTACACATAAAAGGGGTGGTATTTGGAGCATTCGACCAATCTCAAACATGGACAAGCGTACTGACAGCGCAGCGCGTCATATATTTCCTGAATGAAAAGTCAACTAATATTAGACAAATATGAAGAAGTTAAACTTTAAACATCCATGACTTAAACACTTTATCCAGGATAAAAGCCACATAGCTGCACCTGCAAGGTGAATACAGCTGGTAAAAGAAAAAGCGTTTGAATGCGTACATTAACAGGTTTATGATATCACTGCCCCGTCCAAGACACGAGTGGATCTGACTTTAATTACATTTGACTCGAGTGTTTCGTCAACTTAATGTGTTGCTTAAAATAATACTTCTGCATACAGTATGTGACACTGTGAGTGTTGCACGGCCAGATACGGCTCAAGAAGCTGACTCAGATAAGGAAATATATGATACATTATGATGTGATATGATATGAATGATAATGGGACACATCGACGTCTGCACTCACAGTGCCGTGGACTGTACTTAATGTTACTCTGATCCGGTTACTTATGTTGTGGCAGATATTTAAGTAAGCTTTCTTAACGCTAATGTTATAATAGTCAGATTGCTCTGAAGATGGGAGGGGATATTCTATTCATTTTCACGTTCACACAGTCGGTGATTTTGGCCGGTCGTCTTTCCTGCAACGGCAGTTTAAACTGTATTTCCTTTCTCCTCCTGTCATATGAATTGATCGCTTTAAACTCCGCACACTGAGCTCTGATTGGTCAGCAGGCAGTGCTTTCATCCTGGAACCTATCCTGCTCCGGAGAATAGCCGTTCAGAATAAGTTATCGAGCCCACTAAAAAGTGAACCAGCTTCGTAGGACCGGAAACCCCTGAAGTTAGCTTGCTAAACGAAAATCTTGCTTCGTAGTATACCCCCCTGGTTAGGTTCCAGGATAAGAGATCAACTCAGTGAAAGCACCGCCTGCTGACCAATCAGAGCTCCGTGTGCGGAGTTTAAAGCGATCAAGTCATATTACAGGATAGAGGAAATACAGAAAAACTGCCGTTGCAGGAAAGACGGCCGGCAAAAATCAACTGACTGTGTGAATGTGAAAATTAATAGAATATCCCCTCCCATCTTCAGAGCAATCTGACTAATATAACATTAGCGTTAAGAAAGCTTACTTACATATCTGCCACAACATAAGTAACCGGATCAGAGTAACATTAAGTACAGTCCACGGCACTGTGAGTGCAGATGTCGATGTGTCCCATTATCATTCATATCATATCACATCATAATGTATCATATATTTCCTTATCTGAGTCAGCTGAGCCGTATCTGGCCGTGCAATACTCACAGTGTCACATACTGTATGCAGAAGTATTATTTTAAGCAACACATTAAGTTGACGAAACACTCGAGTCAAATGTAATTAAAGTCAGATCCACTCGTGTCTTGGACGGGGCAGTGATATCATAAACCTGTTAATGTACGCATTCAAACACTTTTTCTTTTACCAGCTGTATTCACCTTGCAGGTGCAGCTATGTGGCTTTTATCCTGGATAAAGTGTTTAAGTCATGGATGTTTAAAGTTTAACTTCTTCATATTTGTCTAATATTATAGTTCACTTTCATTCAGGAAGTATGACGCTGCGCTGTCAGTACGCTTGTCCCTGTTTGTGATTGGTCAAATGTTGCTAACCCCGCCCCTTTCATGTGAACGCGCACTCAGCCGGACAGAGAAACCCTGGCTTGAGTTACCGAGTTGATAACCAGCGTCGTAGGACCGCTTAGCGAGAGCGCGTTTGTTTTGGATTAGGTAAGCCAGCTAACTCAAACATATCCAGGGTATGTTGAACTGGCTTCGTAGTACAGGCCTCTGGAACAAGCCCATAATATAACATTAAGCGCCTACATTTTTTTTATAAAGTGATCATGTTGGAAAAAAGTTGCCTATTGCCACATCTTGCAGACAAAGAGACATATTAGCATATAATGGAGTCACATGTCTCCACCTGGTTAATAAAGTAAAATATTCATTCTCCTTTTCTGCTCCTTTTTACAAAAATATCGGCTCTTTGCTGATGAAGCAGCCCCCCAGTGTTAGCCCTATAAAAGCTAGTCACTATATGTGTCCATCTGCTATTTGTGCTGAGTAGGTAGTTTAGAGTAGGGTTTTAATCTTTAAACAGCTGCGTTATTCTGCTGCAAACAAGGTGGATGATTACACATGATAACCTCGCAAAAATGTCCCAAATTGGGATCAATAAAGTACTTCTTATCTTATCTCTCTTATCTCCCCATCGAACCTCAAGAGCACATCACAAACCTTGCGATCCTCTGAGTCATGTCCGAACCATCGCACCACAGCCTCCAGGACGTGCCTTTCGTTGCCCACATTCAGTTTCTCCATGGCCAGCGCCTCGCAGAGGCGGTCCGCGGGCAGCTCCCTGAACTCCTCAGTGAGGGCCACATCGCCAAAATGTGTCTGCAGGAACTCCGTGGCGACAAAGTGGACATGGTTAAGGCAGTAGTGCAAAGAAAAGAGCCGGATTCCGAGACAGTTCTCTGCAGTGATGCAGCTCTCTAGGAACTGGCAGCACAGGGCCTTCAGGTCGGTCAGGAGGAGCAGGTCAGACGCCTGAACCATGTCCTGGATGGTCTCTTCATTCAGAGTGATCTGTGTGTGAAGGACAGGTCAATTGGATATACAACAATATACCAGGACAGGCAGGAAACAATTACTAATGTTTACTAGTCCTAAGCATGTCACTGTGCTTCTTTTTAAGCCTACGCACTCACTTCTCCGCTGAAAATGTAGTCCAGGATTTGTTTCATGATGGGCATGGAGACCCCCTGTAGCTCGATTCTGTATGTAGACCCATCTTCTTTTGGAGGATTGTAGTTCAGCTTGGTCCTAACAGAAAACCATTAACAGAACATATTATGACAAACATGAAAATAAACTATACACCTGATGATCTTTCATCAATTTCTATTTTGGGAGTGCCCATGCTGTAACTAAGTGTCTGGGCTGACTGACTGATGTTCTGACAGACTGATGGTCTGGCAGACCTGCTCACCTGACATAAGGGCTGGCAGCAGCCAGGATGTTCTTCTGGACAGGAAGCTCCTCGCCATCCACCACCAGCAGCGCATCATGGAAACTTTGCTCCTGCCAGAACAGGCGGAGGACTCGGAGGAGTTTCTGGGAATGTTGTGGGTCCGAAACCTTCGAACCAGGTTCACTTGATAAGGAATCGGGCATGTCTAGACTTGACTTTTAACAAATGAACAGGGGACAATTTTTTATTCGGCTTGCATGAAGGATTACACTTTTGTGGATAACAATCATTTGTAACAATCGGTTAGTAGCCAAACGTTACTCATTAAACGGTTCTCTACATGAACACCAGAGCGGGGAGAAGTACTCAGCTTGTACTTGTAAAAGGAGAAGAACCAGAGTGTAGGAATACTGTGTTACAAGTAAAAGTCCTGCCATCTAAATGTTACTCAAGTAAAGTACACAAGTATTGGCATCTAAATACACTTAGTTAAAGTACTCATTATGCAGATTGGCCCATTTCGGATTGATATATATTCCATATGTTTTGATTAATTATGTATGCATCTAAGTGTTATCACAGCTGGTAAAGCTGGAACTAGGTTTTATTCTTTTATTAACTTTTGGGTAGTTTGTGAATTTACTCCAGGTGTAACTAAAGTTTTATTTAAGTGTTGATTATGTTGTATATCATCAATCCATTATGCAAAGTAACTAAAGACATTAAATAAATGTAGGAGTGTAAAAGTTAACTTTTTACCTCTGAATTGTAGTGGAGTAGAAGTACAAACTAGCAGAAAAGGGAAATAATCCAGTACCTCAAAATTGTATGTAAAAGACAGTACACGTAAATAATGACTTTGCACCTCTGCTGTACACACCCCAGCGGACAGCAGTGAGCTGTGGGAGTAGAATTGTTAGAATCTAGCTCTGATCATTCTGAGTTAAGAGAATCACTTACCAAATATTGGTAAGGAATGTTAGTCTCGCTGACACAGACACATTCAGTCTGTCTGCTGCATGTTCACTTTATCGGCTTAACACTGTAGTAAAGGCTAGGCTAGTAGCAAAACAACCGACATGTCGATGATAACAGTTGACTGTCAAAGACCATATCATGTCGTTGGTAAAACCATGTCCAGTTTAACAGCTGAAAGGTAACTTAGCTAACGTCTTATTCGGTTTGCTTACTTACTGGCAAACATGGGAAGACAAACATGCTCATTCACGTCGGTGAGACTCATGCCCTGTAGGTTTACACTGGTTCACACTGTTGTGTTTTTCTTTGGATTAATTACACTTTGGTTTTAGGTTTCTTACCTTATGGCAATAAATGTTGAATTTACTTGTTCTATGGGTACCGGCTGGTCCACGCTGCCTTTAGGACGACATGAATCACTCCAGTAAATAATGTTATAACTGGACGTGAAACCAAGTACTGTGCTGCGTTCAAGATCATTCGGAAAATACGAATACATTCCTATGACACATAGTTAAATGGGTGATCTGTCCAAACAAACAAAAACATATCAAGAAATATATTCACACAAGATACCATGTTGTGGCCTAAGACAACCTATTGATGTATACATGTTAACAAGTTAGCTAACAACCTATTTTATACAGTCAATGGTAGTAACACGCCTTTTATTCTCACAGAGATTTCGATTGTCGTGGAACATGAATGCAACATCAGCTAGGCGGAAAGTGTATTGACGAGTGACGTTCCAATACATACACGTCTACTTGTGTGCCAGCATAATTGCAGATTAATTTATTGTATGCACAATTTATATTAGTTAAGTGATATGAGTGGCCTTTTATAACATGTTTTTGCAAACTAAGACCAAACATGTTTTCCTTTGATCATTTTCTAGATCTCAAATGGATGTGCGAAGTGGCAAATAAAATAAGCGGAACGGGACCATCAGACGAACCCACCAACACAAAGCCACCGAGAACAACGTTACACACGCCAATGCAATTTCCGCTGGCAGTCAAATCTCCTTAACTTGGTAATGTACACACTCTAAATAAAATGACTATGCAATGATAAAATAGTTAATAATTATTCACTGCATATAGCTCATGCAGATATTCTAGCGATGTGGTGATGCTTTGATGGAGGAACCAATGAGCATCGGATATGTTGCCAACGGAACAAAGCTGGGGACACTCTGTTTGAAACTACAGACATGAATCGAGGTGCTCGCAGCAGACTGCCTCCGTGGATAGAGAGTCTGGTCCTCAGCTATGGCAGGGAGGAGGGGGGCAGCGGCGGGCAGCTGAAGGCGCATGTCATCGGGGTGGGTGAGATGTCTCAGTCCCAGGCCCAGGGCTCCGAGGGCCCCACGAGGCTGCTCTTCCTGTCCGACGAGGAGCTGCAGATTCCTGCCATCCTCACAGCATCAGCCTGGGAGCATGTCCAGGAACAGGACGATCTTGAATATTTCACCAGCCTTGTGAACACCACAGTTCGCATCCACGACTACCAGCTGCAGTTTCACATGGCCCCGGAACTGACTAAATGCAGCTTCTTCTTATTAGTTGGAGAGCTGGCTACAACTGCTGCCGGTCAAGTAAAAAACACCCCCCCTGCCAGCACCAGCCAGCCCTCCATCAGGCTGAAGATCTGCCAGACATGGAGGGCCCTGCTGGCTCATCAGAAGACACAGGACTCTCAGATGAGCCAGTGGGGTGATCTGTCGGAGCTGCTGGGGGAATGGCAGCATGACTGTCTGCATGCTGTGCTTGGGGATGTTCGAGAGAGACTGATAGCAGCCAGCAGCCGCTCTAAGAGCCAGCAGCCCTCCACCTCAACTTACAACCCACTGCTGACCCCCCCAGACACAGTCACTGCCACACGCTGGAGTGTTGACAGGGTCCGATTTAAAGGAGTGAAACCTTTCCCCATTAAGTGTCTTCGCTTTCCAGAACAAGATGCTGAGCAGCTGCACACACAGTTACCTGTTGGAAGCAGGACAACCGGTGGAGTGTGTGCTGCCTCTGAGGACAGAAAGAGAGATTTACCTCAAGTCTTTAAAACTCTGCAGACCACGCAGCCTTCTGGTGACGATGATGCAGAGTGGGCTATAGCCAAGCCGGAAGTTGTAGAGAGAGACGCCAATGACAACTCACCTTGTCCTGTGGAGGACAGCATGTTACATGAGGACGGAATCACAGTGTTTATTGATAGCGACAGGCCTTTGTCCAACCCTTGGGACATTTTTCCTCCACCATGTGACACCTCATCATCCTCTGATGTGTCAACAGAAGCAACACCAAACCATTTGCCACAAAATCCCACTGCTACTGAATTTCAGTCTGATGATGGTGTAATCTTAACCAGCATGCAACAGCCTCTCCACAGTTTAAAGGATGCATCAGAGCTCAACAAAGAAGAGCACAGCTTCCTCCCTCCATACCAGAAAGATCCACACTCAACCAGCCTCCATGCCACTGCGACTCCTTCAACTTCCACTTCTGTGAGTCCACCACTGTCACACCTTATTTCTGCCACAGACAAACAGCACACACACACAGACACAGCACAACAAAATCTCCCAGCTTTGGACAAAGAAAGTCAGATTTTGTTCAAAAACATTAAGGGGACAAATGAGATAGTATATAGAAATGCAGAGAGAAAGAGAAGAGAGCCCACAGCAGAAGCCCTGACCACCTTAGTGGAGCAGAAGACTCGGATCAGTGGCAGCCCTCCATCTTGGCTCTTTGACGCTCAGACAGGCTCTGGGGCTGAAGAGGGGGGCAGTCACCAGCCGGCTCAAACTGTAGGGACTGTTTCCAGAAAGACAAAGAGTCCCACTGTTCACAGTGACGGCAGGCTTTTCTCTTACTCTTACCAAGTGTCTGGACAGAATCAGCAGGATTTCCGTGGATTCAGCGTCGCAGAGGCCCATCTGCACTGGGCCGTGAAATATCTTGTGGTTTCAAAGCAGACGGATCCTCCTCCCAACACATCAGTATCCTCTCAATCAAATGTCATCTGAAGTTCTAAGTATGTAAATTGTCAAAAAGATAAAAATAAATAAAGATATCTGAATGAAGACCCACATGCCAACTTTATGCTATCCCATGCAGATTTGGGCAGAAATCATACAGTTTCTTTCCATGCAGTATACATGTGTTATCACCTTTTCTGAAATGGTGTATTTGGATACTTCCGCAAACTAAACAGTCTTGGAATTGCATGAATTTGATATGACTGCATAGCTGAGACTCTAATTCACATGTGATAAAAGTAGTCCTCATATAGCCATTGCAATATAGTGAGGCTGTATAAAGAAATATAAAAAAGATATAAGATGATCGCACACTTTACAACCACTAACTGCAGCCTGAGGGATTATGTATATTGACATTAATGGGTTAGGGTTAGGGTTAGGGTTAAATCAAAGCCTTTTTGAAGTCTTACTGTAAAGGAATTTCTGAGCATTTTTGTTCATTCTTGAGTGGTAAACATTTTTTAAATGTAGCACCAAAACCCTGTAACAAATCATGCAACACGTTATGAGAAATAATAGAGCCTGGCATCATATCATTCCCTCATAATATTCCAAGCCCTCACACATTCTAAATCAAATTTGAATGGGCATCTCACCAAAACACAATGTTTATGACCAATATTAATACACAGAGCTGAGCTGCATCTCAAATCCATCTTCAGATTCCCAGCTTTAAGATGATGTAGGGTACTGTTGCGGTCAGTATATGTTTTGGTAATTGGATTTTCTTTTCACAAAAAGATATCAAAAAACAAAATACGAGTGGATATTTGATTTTCGTTTTAAAATTTAAAAAATAAACTTGAAATACAAGGCTTTGTTCTTTATCATGGTCAAAAAGGTATTAACTAAACTTAAAAAACGGGATGATTTTTATGTTCTACCTCTCAAAACAAAAAATAAAATTACTAGAAAACAGAAACAAAAAAACGCCAGTTTTTTCATATTCTGCTACCGGAAGTTGCTGTTTACAAAATAAGAGCGCAAATCAGTACTTTCCTATGTCGTATGGAGCTATTATCAGGGTCATAAGTTTTGATCATTCAAAAAAATACAAATTTATTTGAAAGTTCAAGTTTTTATCTTTTAACTTTGAAAAATACAATAATGTATTTAAAATTAAAATAAGTATTTGAAATAATTTTTCAGGTTGAATATTATTTTGATTCAGTTCAGCAATTATTTTGGATAAAATATTTATTTTCATATTTCACTTTTATACATATTTAATCAATATCAGATTCAAAACAATAATTTATTCAGTTTCACATATTTTTTCGCCTTCAGACATTTTTTCACTTTCAGATCTTTTTTTTCGCTTTCAAACTTGTGGCCCTGATGTTGCTTGGGGGCGGGGCTTACCAAAGAGTACTTTGGCATCCTGAGTGACAGCCCTCCCTCTGTCATGTTGCCTTCATGGATATTAGGTAGCGCGAGAAATAAAACTCAACACTTTCTATACACAATACTCCCGTGATTGGTGGTAAACAAAACTGATACAAGCGTCAAAGTTCCGTTAAGCGAGCTGTAGAGCATCGTAGTTGGCAACAATCGCGGTATAAGAGCAATAAACTGTGCTAGAATGTGAAATTACGTATCCGCAACGAGCCAGAGAGATACCGCAGGTCCTTCCTTCCTGCAGCGCATAGGGAGTAGCATGAAGCTGCAGCGTCGGAGACTGCAGTTTCAGGACCGCACTCCTAGGACCCTAGTTTTTCGTGACACTGCCACCTAGCGAGTAGGAGATATGAATATGAACGACAACGCACAGAGTGAAGTGCTTTTAAAGTTTTATTTGTTTAACATTAATAACAATTCCGGTGTCTTAAAATCAAGTGTGATTAGCTAACGTTAACTATGATAGTCTTAAAGGGCCCATGTCATGCTTTTCCGGTTATTACCCGTCCCCTTGTGTGTTATGAAGGTTTTTCTGCATGTAAACGGTCTGCAGAGTCACAAACCCTCAAAGTACACCCTGTAGCGAGTAAAACTCTTAACACAGAAAATACCTGTCTATGCTGCCCCAGAACGCCTCGTTGGAGATTTCTCTTTTTCCATTGTTTTCTTCCTGGGTTCTGTGACGTGTGAACACCCAGATCAACAACAAATGGAACAATCCGCGGAGCACCTCACACACCAGGATCCCTTGGCTAACTAACAGGGAGTCCCCATTGACTTGCATAGAGCTCCCTGAACGCTGGTAATAGACGAGTTGGGATCGCGGAGAAATGCTCTCCGCAGACCCATTCTCACAGCGTTATAAACCTTTTTCTTACTCAATATCAAGCCACACTTATTGTTTTTACTTCGGCTGTGAGTGTTTGTGTGTGCTCAGGATGAGTTTCGCTTGTTCTCGCTGTATCGCCGACCCGGAAACGTGTCCGCTCCTCGCAGCAGCAGCTCGCAGCAGCGGCAAGCAACAACGAGCCTCGCAACGAGCCTCGCAACGAGCCTCGCAACGTCCCGACCAATCAGAGCACACTGGGCTCACAGGGAGGGGGTGGCGGGAGCTCCAACAAGCCGTTTAGGACAGAGAGTGAATACCTGGTGAATATGCATACTATACAGAGATGCTGTATGAGAAACCAATGTGAGTTTGGAATGTTCATGTTCAAACAGTCGGTGATTTTTGCCGGACCTCTTTCCTGCAACGGCAGTTTAAACTGTATTTCCTTTCTCCTGTAATATGACTTGATAGCTTTAAACTCCGCACACTGAGCTCTGATTGGTCAGCAGGCGGTGCTTTCACTGAGTTGATCTCTTATCTGGAACCAGCTCCGGAGCAGGTTAGGTGTTCAGCATAAGTTACCATATGGAGATCTACCCCGGTAAGAAGTGAACCCGCATCGTAGGACCGAGTTAATCCTGAAGTTACCTCGCTAACTGCAAATCCTGCTTCGTAGTACAGGCCATAAATGGGTTTAGTGGGTGTCTAAACTCTAATACTAAAAAACACAGATGTTTTCTCAGATGAAATTGTACATTTGTCTCGAATATTTGAAGCTCTTTTACTTAACTTCAGAACAAAATAGTTGCATTGATTATTATTTGTCAAATTGTGTGTATAACATAACAACATAACACCCCTTTGGCTTTCATATGGAGATCTTAATATCAAACATAGTCCTACACAACCAGCTAGTTGCTATCTTTGTCAGTCTGCTGCTTGCTGTTAGGCAGATAGTGTTGAGTGTGCGTTGATCACAGTCACCTGATCCATTGTCAATGAAAATATTGATGAGTGCTTCAAAGGTAAAACAAGCTGGACACTTCATTTTATATTTAAGAAAAACGAAAAAACGATTAAATCACAGATTCCCATCCTGTACTGTTGCTATTCAGAGTAGAAGAATAGAAGGCTAGCACTCAATGCATGCTGGGAATTATGCTAATGTATAATCTATAGATCCTTTGAAAGATGTTATGAAGAGTTTACTGAACACTCAGCATGACATTTATTTGACTTATTAATGCAGGCCACAAGTCTCTCTCTGAAGAAGTCAGGAGAAATGGTTCTGAACAGGATTTTTTAGATTTAAGTTTTAAGTTATTTTTTATATGACAATAAAGATAAAAATATCGATTCTACCAAATGTCCACATGATGGAACTGTTATCATATAACTTTGCATTATCACTGGAGAGTAAAGCAGTTTTCTATTCCTCCAGAAGATGTCAGCAAATACCTCAAATACTAATACAAGAAGTAGCTGTTCATTTAAAAAAAACAAAAAACAACACATAATATATATTTATATATATATATATATATAATACATGTAATGTTAATATATAATGAATTTAATAATAGAACGCTAGTTCATCTTTATTCTGATACACACTGTGACTGTTGTAATAACAAAGCGAAGGCTCCGAGCTAGTTCAGGCAGTCAACTCGAGCACCAATGATACATTAACATGTGACGCGCCTCGTCCCTCTTACAACCAACCAAACACATTCTCCTAAACATGCCGCTCTATTTAAGCTGCCAGGTCTGCTGCCTCTGCCTCGCTAATGCTGCCACTGTGTTCATGTTGCTGCTGCTCGCCTGCCCCCCCCCCACCACCCCAGCTTCCACCCCAGCTTCCACCTGTAGGCTCGGGGGATAGTTATCTAATCATCACTCAATGTTATTTGTAAATCTGTGGAGTGATGAGGCCCGAGCCTAGACGCCACACTCAAACTATATGCTGCTTCTAATAAACATATTAAGAAACACGTGAGTTGTCTGACTGAAATTGGACATTTCTGACAACAATATATTGTCATAATTGTACAAGCCTATTGTGGACAGAGACCACTGGTAAAATAATGTCCTTCATGGTTAAATAGTTTGCACTGAGGTGTATGAAACTTTATTGATAAGGATTCCTAAAGTCATCCTCTGTTTTTGCTTGTTGTTCCTTCCTTGCATGTTGGAGCTTCACTCTGCATAATGATGCATGTAACAATGATGTCACATTCATCTGCTAAGAGGGAATGTCTGTCTTCTCACACATTAAATGTACAAACATGATGTTGTGACAACTTTGGAAGCAACATATACAAGTGTGAAGGGAGAACTCCCCTTCCACCATGAAATGAGGAAGGACCTTTCTGTGAAGAAAAACATGTTGTTCATAAAAAGGAAAATATTTGCATATTCGTACATTTTGGAATTTAACTGCAGGGGCATTAGCTGTCAATTTGATTAATTTTAGCCAGATTATTCGAAACAAAATAGAAAAAACAAATAAGACAATTTATTATTAAAATCGGAATTTTTTTTGTAAAACACGCCTGGAGGGAAACTAACGATAGACTGAGATGAGCACGTCACACAGCGAAGCATGAATAAACTTGGAGCATGCAAAGTGGGGAATACATTTGCAAGATCGTTGACATTTTCGAAAGAAATGATGAGCTCCCCCTCTAAGGTCATGATTAGTTAGAACTGTTAGGTCACAGGCTGACCCTTTGCACATCCTTTAAGAGTACAGTGAGCTGTGACGCTGAATTAAAACATGAAAAACAGTAATCTATCGTTAATTAATTTGAATCATTAAGGGGTTTAAATGTTAATCATGATGTGCACAAGTCAGTGTTGTTAGTTGTATGGTGTCCAACATTTTAAAAAAAACATGGAGCTTGGTAAATGAAAACTCTTGACCTGAGTGCATGTGTGCTACAGCCTTGGTGTTTATCAGCCGCTCCAAAGCTGCTCACATTATGCTCCAATACAGCTGATGCGCTCTTGTATTAATATCACTTAACATGTGTCTTCTACATTCTACAGAAAGGTCTTCCCAGCAGCTGCCCAGGAAATGGGTTAAAATCCTGTACACGTCTGATACCCGTTACATGTTAGTTTCTGGGTTTTTTGTGCTAATGAATCACCATTTGCTGAGAGAAACAGAGAAAAGACCAACTTCTGAGTTTATCCACTGAAAGCTTCAAACCCCTAATGTAAGCAGGGGCCAGCTGTGCGCACTTGTAAAGTTGTTATAATCCTCCTTTGACCTATAAACAGGAAAATACATAATATAAAGCATCATGCTGAAACTACAAATAACACTGTCCATGTTGTCCTTGTAAGGCAATACCTTTCTTAGTGCCTTTCTGCAGCTTCCCAATGGGCATCAAAACACATTTCATTTAGCTCAGCTGTGATACAAATAGAGCCAAAATCTACAACATGCAGCCCAGCAGCTCATACATTCTGTGTGTGTGATCAGTGTGGTTTTTTTAATTTTGATGACAACATGTTTTCAGGGGACCATCCAACCACCCAATCTCCTCACATGCTCTTTTTGGACTGTATGTTGACTGTATGCTCTTTATGCTTATTATTCAACTTAGATCAAAAAGTCATAAGAACAGAGGGGCCATCAATAACAAACATGTTCATATGGCCTTTATGAAGCTAATGATGTCCAGTTTCTGGTTGAGATGTGTGTTCAGTTCATATTGAGTTTGTGCTGCTGGCCAATACATTATTATGCATGGTGCAAAAATTATGATGGGGGTAAAAATATATATATATTAGTTATTGATCCGGATGGTGTTTGAGCTGATAATTGTTTCAATTTCCATTACTCTTATTTTTTAAAACAATGACCACAGAGTGAAATGTTGGCTATTTCTGCTCTACAACAGAGGCCTTTTTTATTTTTGAAAGATAAAAGAAGATAAAGGTACACCAGAACCTTTTAGATACGTATTGCTTTGTGTAATTTAGCATTATGTGTTTTATGTGTCATCGCCTGTATAGCTGAGCTCTGTCCTTGTGTACGTTTTAATCGTGCCCTGCCCAGGGACTGCAAGATCAAAGTGATGTTTAATATTGCATGACCATGTCGAAGTTTTACAGTCCACCGTTGCTGATGATACATTTGATTTGAGTCTAAATTATATTTTAAATCCCTCATGTATGACTAAGATATACCGGTAATGGAAATTATAAGTGAATCGTTCAATACAAATCTGAAAGGAAAATCTAACATTTTACAAAACTTCATGGCGTATGAACAAAGAAAAGCTATAATAAAAATAATAGGATAATGATGAAAAATGCATATAAACCAGCTGAGGTTGTGGCATCGACTTGTGATAATATCCCGTCAGTCATCAATGACTGTGTCCTCAGTTCTTTGGATACAAGTGTTTTGGGGCCTGACACGAGGTAAAAGAAATTGTTAAAGTTATTTTCACTTTTATACACTTTATTTTCATTTGAGCAAACCCAAAGCAACTCCCATAAAGACTCCGCAGTGTTTGCTTGTTCTCTCTGTGTGAGCAACTCTCAGCGTCAGGGTGGACGTGATATTTCAAACAGCACATCAGTGCGTTTATGTATTGGGTGCCCGGAATTTTTTCCAAATAAACACAGCTTGATTCGACCTGGGTGGGCAGACTTATCAAGCGACTAATTCTATAAACAGATGAGGAAATAACCCGCCACCTCATTGGTTGTTAGGAAAAGAGGGGGAACATAAGGGAGTTTCAGTGCAATGAAATTTTAATTAATGTGGGTGGGCTGAGAACACCACCGACTGTTTATGATGGACAATTTATTTCCCAGTGCAAAGTCAACACAACACAGCAAACGTAAAACAATTATTAACATTTTCTGGGGTCCTCATGAGGCTGGGGAGTCAGTCGGTGGAGGAGAGCAGCTCCGGGAGACGGCTCAACTTTACCCAGGACACACTCCAGCCTCCCCGGCGTCATGACGCTCTACCACGGCCGCCTGCCCTCTCTAGGAGTGCCATCTTCGGCTCTGAGTCTCTCCGGTGCTTCGCTCATTTATCTCTATGGAGGGGACAGCGCAGGGGTCGTGCCCGCTGCCTTGAGTTTCCTGCCGGCCCGCCAGGAGCCCCCGCAGAAGCCCCCCTACAGCTACATCGCGCTCATCGCCATGGCCATCAAGAGCGCGCCGGAGCAGCGCGCCACGCTCAGCGGCATCTACCACTTCATCATGGACCGCTTCCCCTTTTACCACGACAACAAGCAGGGCTGGCAGAACTCCATCCGGCACAACCTGTCGCTGAATGACTGCTTCATCAAGGTACCCAGGGAGAAAGGCCGGCCGGGGAAAGGCAGCTACTGGACTCTGGACACCAAGTGCCTGGATATGTTTGAGAATGGCAACTACCGTCGGAGGAAGAGGAAGGCGAAGAGTCAGCAGGATGCCATGGAATCCAAAGCCGGTGGACACAAACGTACCAAGGGCCCGGGGCCATCCAGGGACCCCCAGTCCTCCCATAAGCACCGGACTGGCCCGGGGATAGCGGAGGATCCAGCGAGGCACCATGCAGAGAGAGTGGAGACACAACCTGACACAAAAGCGGTGCTGGTCGAGCTGAACCAGGCTGAGCTGTCACAGCACCCCCCCAAACTGAGACCTAATGGGTCCCCCAACAGAGACGCTCTTGCATGCACCGGAAGGAAGCTGGACGCCCCTCAGCCTGGGACATGTCCCGCTCCAAGACATTCTGCCTGGTGGATGTACGGCGAGCCAGAGGGAAGCCTGTCAGCGGTCAGCGGGAGAGGAGAGGAGAGGAGCCCGATCTGCGCCGTCTGGAGCGCAGGCACCACAGTCCCGGCTGCAGTAGCACAGCACAGACCCAGAGAAACGGTACCGAGCAGGGACAAATCGAAAGGTTTCAGCATCGAGAGCATCTTATCGAAAAGTGAAGACCAAGCGCGCGGAAGCATCCTCGATTTGTCCGCGGACACGTGCGCAGAGCGTGGAAGTCCCGCGTTCAGTTCTTCCGTTGTGCTCGGCACGCGACCACATCAGCTGTACCACATGGGATTCCCCTTCTGCTCCTACCTGTCACTCACATACCCCGACAAAGTGCTGCATCTGAAATGAATATTTCTCTTTTCATTAATGATGATGAAAACATTTTGTGGGTTTTTCTGACAATCAGTAAAGAATATTGAGCGTTAGGACTGGGCCTGTGATGCACTCAGCACAATGTGAGAATAACATTTAATATTCAGATATAGTTTTTCATCATACTGCTTTGCTTTGAATTCCATGTGCCACAACGTTTAGGATAGTTAAAAAAAAAAGATTTATTTAAAGATTTGAGTACAAATAATTTGCTACGATAATATTTGTTGCTATTTGAATTGAATTTGTCTTATGATTAAAAGTTGTTTTTATAAAACAGATAACCTTCACATTTCTTCATCTTTTTTTCATCCCATAATGTTTTAAAGAATGCCAGGCCTTGTCTAGACTGAGCCTTGTTCAGTTTGGCATAGATTTACTTATTATTTAAATAATAACATTTATCAGAAGGGTTTGAAAAGAAATAGAAGTTTGTTCACATAATCTTTTTGTGTAGTTGTCTAATCTTCAAATTAACATAATCAGAATCATCATTACATAAATAAAGTCACGGGTCACCAATTCAGGTACCACTTTACAATAAGACTACCCTTATAAAGGGCTTACAAATAGTTTGTAATTCATTTATGAATTAGGTTGTGAACACTTTATAAATCATTAATAAGCTTTTATAAGACATGAGATAAACAGGGCAACTGTGACCGGTTGCTTGCTAAATAGTGAGCCCACATTTATCTGTACTGCTAAGCTTTGGCTACTTAGCTTACTTCGTCTTCTTCATCAGCCAGCATCCTTGGTATCTGTTGTTCACCGAGTTGATTCTCCCCCCATCTATCTTGATGTTTCTTGGCATCTCTTATGACCATCTATGAATGAGTTACTAACATTTATAACTGCCAAGAGGGAGCCTTATTGTAAAGTGTAAAACACATTCCCATTTATTAATGAGTTACTACCATATCATTGGTAAAAGGGAGCCTTATTGTAAAGTGTGAAACACATCACCATCTATTGATGAGTCACTAACATTTATAACTACTGAAAGGGTGCGTTGTTTTTAAGTTTAATACACATGTCCATTTATGAATGAGTTATAACATTCACGCTTACCTAATTTTTCACATGAAATGCAAAGTAAGATGCAACAGAACCAAGCAAAACATTGTATTCACACATGAAGAAAATCAGGACTCAAAGTAATGACTGTGTTTAGTATGACTGATACACATATTTAAACATAAAAGCTTTTCTCAGATATAAGTGAAAGACTTGGACATAATGGTACTCAGACTGGAAAGGCTTTGTGTATATCCTTGAACAAGCGTCCAAGCAGTCCATCAGGGTGAGCTGAGCCAAGCCAAGATGACCATTCAAGACCCTTGAGGTGTTCCTCCAACAAACTCTCTGTACGGTCTCCTCTCAGTCTACGGACATGTCCTTTGACGGTCGACCAAGCTCTTTCATTATGTTGGGTATGACTGCCAGTCTGGGGGTTCACACACCACCTGCTGTGGTTTACGGTGTAGTGGTTGTACCCCATGTTACTCAGCACTCTCCTGTATGCCCTGCACTCATCACTAATAATGCTACTTCCTGACTTAACATGCCGTCTAATCAGAGGGACAAGGTGGCATCTTGATCCTTTCTCCACTAGTTTCAACACTAGTCTCCGCCTTTTGTCTTTAACTCCCATCATTCCGAAGACCCATTTCTTCCTTCTCCAGGTATGTCCAAAGCGTCCACATGCATACTAACAAAAAGTAAATCATAACATCATCTTAGTTAACAGCAAAATGCACACAAGTTACAGTAAAAATTGTTGCACATTATGTTTCAAAATGCCATACTTGTTTATGAGGTGCATTGTATAACATCATTTAAGGATAATTATACAGTAATGGTACATATTGATTTAAAAAAAAAAAATTGTATTCTCTTGTACAAGAAAGCCCAGTCTATAACTGCCGAACATAGGAACTGGGTACAGTACCTTCTCCCAGACACAAATACTCAAATAAAATAGTTTACTTTATCAGCATTGGTATTACTATTTATTACCAATTTGGTAATACAATTAATAAAAAGAACACGGTTTGGGTTCGTTCTTCAGATGACTGTGACGTTAACGTGTAAGCTCAATAATGAACTCCAGCTCAACCAACCATATTGTAATATCTAAGTAATCATCTGGAAATATGACATTAATAATTGTAATATACACACATCTTATTGTGAGGTTGATTTCACATACACTACGCCACTCTTCAACACTACTTTGACGTTAGCTTGTCTACATAATCGATCATAGCAAATTTAAATTAACCTTAGCGATGCATAAGCATGAAGAATAGTCCACAAGGCACCAGCACAACAAACACGGCCGAGTTCAAGTTATGTTCCCCGGATGAGTTGAGCAGGCTGAGTCCCTGTAGCATCACGGAGCTGCTAGCAGATCGACAGGAAGTTAACAACAGCATAACTTTAAGGCTTAATATAACTTAAACAAATTATAAATGGTAGTAACTCATTAATAAATGGTGATTTGTTTAACACTTTACAATAAGGCTCCCTTTTTCCAATTATACATGGTTGTAACTCATTAATAAATGGGAATGTGTTTTACACTTTACAAGGCTCCCTTTTACCAATTATAAATGTTAGTAACTCGTAAATAAATGGTCATAAAGAGATGCCAAGAAACATCAAGATGGATGGGGGGAGAATCAACTCAGTGAACAACAGATACCAAGGATGTTGGCTGATGAAGAAGACGAAGTAAGCTAGGTAGCCAATATAAGGCTTAGTCATCTTGCCTTATAAGGGTAGTCTTATTGTAAAGTGGTACCCAAATTCAATATGAGCAAACATTCAAAGATGAAGACAGTTCAGAACATGGAGGACAGTTGTGACTCTCATGAATCCTCCCTGAAGGAGTGCTGCGTTCAGTTGTCAAATGTGAACGGTTGGATTCACACGTTTCAGTCATTCCCATAAATAACCTGTTTCAATGTCAATTAATCTGTATTATATCTGCACTATAACTGAGGTGCACCTCACATATAATGTATTTTAATACTGGCAATACTGACTCTTACCATGTTGAGAGCGGCAATGCTTCGTCTGACCCAGAAGGAAATCTAAAGGTCCACGAACTAGCTCTGCTTCAGTGTTTAACCACATGTTGTGTTGTTCCTTGGTTGGAGTTTACTGCATAGGAGATAGACCAACAGATGCAAATTATTTTATATCAGACAGTTCTGAAGGTCAAAAATAAACGTTCCCCCTCTAAATCCAGTCAAGTTTGAAAAAGCCTTAGTGTCTTTTTATGTTTCTATTTTTCTAATCTTATACGGTCTGATGGCTTTTACAGTCCTAAATGAGCCTTTCTGAGCTTTCATTTGTTGAAGAATGACACCTGCATGAAATCAGAGGGCTCTGCTGACAGCATCATTACAAACAGAGCAGCCATGTCTAAATATAGGCCTCTAGCTTCCACACACGTCTCCTGAAAAAGCTGGACTGTGCGGGGCCCAAGCTCTGCAAATCAGGAATGTTTGTTGAAATAAATAAACTTCCCCACATTTGAGCAGAGGAACTCACAATCACAAGCATTTCCTGTGTATAGGATTCTTTTGTTCAGACGTGTAAATAAAACATCTGAAGGGAAGGAATGGAGGCGAGGAAGGAGAAAGAAGGATCAGTTTAACGGAACACTTTGTCTCTGGGATTCCGGAGCATTTCATTTGAATACATGAAGCTCTCTAATTGGCTCCACTGGCTCTTCATCCTCCAGTGATCTCTGAAGTCTTCTCAAAGCTAAGTGAGTTAATAAATGTTAGTCATCTGATGGTTTCTGTTGGAACAGTAACAAATCCTCATGGGAAAGCAACTCAGACAAAAGGGAAATCCTCTCACTTTTATTTGTAATCTGAAAACAAACTGATCACAGATCTGTAACATGCAGCAGCAACACAGCCGGCTGCAGAGACATTCTGGAGTATGCTCAGTTTATTAATTAGAGCAAATCTCTTCTTAATGTAGTTTCTTATCGTTTCGCCTGTTAGATTTAAGACATCTTCCAAAGCAAGTGACATTTTTATTTAACTGCTATTGGTCCAAAATGTATTTTCCTAATTGAAACAGTTCTAAGGCCTATTTTGACCAATTTGTATGCACTCATTTGTATGCAAATCTGTGTTGTGTGTTTTCCCCTTCGCCGTTCCTTTTTTGGTACAAATGTCTCTCATCATTATGTCATTTGTAATCTGGCTAGCTATGTATTTTATATCTCTGGCCCCTTTAAATGTTAAACGTTGCTGTATTTCTAGCTGCCTGCATCTCGCTGACTGTCTGGATCTCAATTGTTTGTTTTCCGAACAAAAAATCCATAAAACAGTTGCATTGCTGTATTCTCTTGATTAAACTTCAGTCTTATTTTTCTTTACTTTAAAAATAAAGTGTGTGCTTATGACTTGAAGTTCCAGTACTACAAGTTTAAATATCACACTTGTAGTTTGAAAACTTACCAGTATGATTCAACTTGTATTAATTACTTAAAAGCTTTAGCAAAAATCGATAGCTGATAGTTTTTTTGCTGTGTTTTGCTTATAAAACTTAAAGTTCAGTGCTGTTAAGAGGGAAGACAGAGTAAGTGATCTCCTCTACATCCTGTGTGGAGCTCCTTTGGGAACCTGCAGTTCTGTTCTGAGCTGAACACCTTCATCATGACAGAGCCTCTCTGCCACAGAGTTAAACTTTGGAAAGTGTCATTGCCGGCTCAAAGCTGCATAACAGTCTCAATGGTTCAAAAGGCCTCCTAATCCATGTGTTTATTATATTTTTTCACTCTCTACATAAACCGGCTGCACTTGTCCAAATACACACTCAGCACAGAGGGAGGGCAGGGCCTTGATGGAGATTGATGGGCTCGGTTCAGGCCACATTAGCTGCTAATCAAGTTAGGTTTCCTGGCACAGAGCTCTATACATCATTATGTGCCTCACATTTCCTGCAGATCAGGACTGATGCTGTTCACAACCTCACACAGAGACATGCATACAGAGCATGAACATCTGTAACGTATCATGACATTAAATAAAAAGGATCTTCACACAGTATGCTGTTTCTGAGGCTGCATCATCCTGCAGCTTCTTTCATTTGTTACCAATCTGTATATGTCAATTATGGTTTGGCTTAAAGTCACAGTTGCTCTTGTAAGAAACATTTAAAAAA